TGAAAACTTCTCGATTATCGACGAATTTCTCTGTCTTAGATGCCCTTTACTTGGATAACAATTATTTAGTATAAATGTGCTGTATGAAATTCTTACTTGAATATAGATTTTTAACCTAATGACACATAATTTAGTTCAACGTGACAAATTTCGTCGATTCGTGATGACAATAAATAACCATTGAAAAAGCCTGATTGGTGAGTAAAATCTGTAAAATGTTGAACGAGTTCATCAATCTTCTGGAGATGCTGCAAACCTGAAAAGTTAACATGATAGTCATTGTTTGAAGTTCAGATTCTAAAATCTTGGAAAAAGAATTTTCAGGATTTTTTTATTCGATGAATGATTAAAATTCGTGACCGACAATCTTCATTTTGTAAATTTTCGTTACTCCCTAATTTTTGCTATTAGCAACTGTGATAAAGATAATTATCATCAGCTCAACTATGATCTGTTTAAGAAGCAAGGAAACTCAGCTAAGATTATAAATACTTTGATTTTGTCATAATTGAAACATTAAACTTGTTCACTAAGATTCAATCAATGAAATTATTTCTTTGAATCATATACAAAACTGAATTAAATAACTAATGAACAAATGGTATTTTAATATTCTGTTTAGTTAAAAAAAAAACACCTGAGATATTTCAGGTAGGCTTTTCGTGCATGTTAATGCTTATCGGTAAGTTCTCTCGATAAATTACAATTAGATTAATCTTTTTTTCGAAAACTTAACATGTATTATTTAATTCAGCAATCAGAAAAGTTAGTTAGATCATGAATAATCTCCTATAGGATAAACACACACATCTGCTTGTTAATAAACTTGTAGAGACGAAAATAAAGATGAGAATATTTTAGGATTGGAACAACAGCTTTTACTTTATAGACTCATGTACCACAACAAAATAAAATGAATCCCATGGGTCCAGATGCTTTTTTTTCAGTGGTTAAGATTGCGTTAAGTGATTTCGCAATGCATTACAAAAAGAAGCTTAGAGAATGCGAAATGTACTTTACATTTTTTAGACATATACACTTAGATTGAACATGTAGACCACATTCTCGGGTGCTGACCTTTCATTAGCATATTTAGAAATATACCTGTTGATTAAGAATATGCGGATGATATAATTTAATGAAGACGCTTTCCAAATGCTGTCTTCGGACCATCTTGAGCAACAATGCAATCACAATTCTTTCCCTTCTAATGTGAAATGTTTCTTCAGGGTCGGCTGGCGTCAGTTCCAGAATCAGCGATAGGAAGTAAAGTATTTGGGCGTGTCAATCACTTCATTGATTATAGGAGGTTCATCAGTCCCGAAAATCTTGTGTCCGACCGAATTGCGACACGGTTAAAGAAGACTCGACTGGCAATGCCAACTTGCGACACTTGTGGCGTAGACGAGATATCCGTTTAATGCACAGCATTTCGCTATCTTTGAGTGTAAAACACGGCTATAAAGAATCGAGGATATTGGTATTCAATCTGAAGATTTCGGAAGAGTTGCATTTTGCGAAATTTATTGATCAATAGTGAACTCTTTCAGTGTCATGAGCATGACGAGACATTATCTCTAGAAAATTCAACTTGGTAAACAATATTGGGCGTAATAAAACAACTCCGCTTACGATGTACTCGCCGAAACCCAATATAAAGAACGCAGCCTATAGAAGTCATGAGGCATTTTTTTTTGTGTGCAAAAACGGACGAATCTATATGATGGGAATTCACGTCTTATAATTTATGTATTTCAGATAGAGGATATGTAAAGCAGGCTAAGTTATTTTTCTTCAGTCGGTGTGATTTTCCCAGCCCACTGGTAAGAAGGAAATTGTGGAATGCATAAAACTACCTATTGTGATTACCAAAACCGTCATTCCTGATATGTAATTTTGCCGTGGGTATGTCCTCAGTTATTTATACTTTTTCATGGAGTATTTCCCTAACGAATGTTTTGCCAATTTTTTATTACTGAGAATTCACACAGTGGAATGGGGTCATTGTCCGTATCTATTAAATTTGTCTTTGTTTTATTGCACGCAACATACTGGCCTCCGTTTTTTGGTCTGGACATTACAATGTTCACTTTAAGGTTACTCAGCACCAAAAGCATAATCGAATTTCGATTTGTCGATGGAAATTAAGGGAATTTTCAACGGCTTCATACAATTGACCCGCTTTATAGGACCAGGACAACAATGGAGGCAGAATAGTATGATTTTACTTTATTTCACGGTTTCTCTTCAGCTACTTACAGTTACGTTTTTGTTGAAATACTGCTCATAATCATCTACTTTACGTTTGTAACCAGGACAAGTAAAATTATAGTGAATACCAGTTCTATAAAATAGTTTTTATCTAGAGTCGAAGTGGTTTCAAGAATCACTGTAGGAAGTCATATAAATCAGTACTATTGATTATTTTCGAAACCGAATTCTCTTCAGCTCTGTCCAAGCTACAGTCTACACATGATTAGCAGTTAGGAAGAAGAGTAGTCGTGCTACACTAAGTATTTAATCAGAAAAGAGAATACCACATTAACCTAGTGATTCATTCACTTCGTGCGGATCACTCTAAAATTTAAACTAAAACACAGAGATCACTCTATATAATGAATGGGAAACTGGAGCGATACAGATGCTCATTGTTTTGTTTCTCATTAATTATATCAGCTGACATTTAAAAATAGTTTCACATTAGATAAATTCCTACAACCACTAACTTACAATTTTCGATCCACAGATCTTGTTTACCATTGCTAAGTCTCTTCAGCACTAAACTTCTGTACTCTTAATTTGTCTACTGTATAATCAGTGTACTAACATCATCATACTGCATATCAAATTCTGATTGTGCATATGCGTATATATCACCTGAAGTATACCTTTATGTATGAGAAGAATAAAAAGGTTTATTAATCAATTCAAAAAATCCTGATCTCTATCAATGACAAGAATCCAATCAATGTTCCTATTTTACTTCTATCTCATAGAAATAATGTATTCTTTGATTTAATGTCAGTCCATTAAGTATGGTACACGTAGTAGACAAAGGTAGATGTTCGGTGTGCGCTTTACCAAATTACTGTGTAATTTTTAGCATTTTTGGTATGTGGCTAACAGTGGACTATATGAAGCCGGTTTTGTCTTATTTTGAACTTGTCAACTAAATGTGCCAGGAAATGTTGTCTGCTACCCACACTCAATAGATAACACGTTGCGCGTTTGACGCAAAAGTCACTATGTGCATCAACACTGAGACGCACATGCATGACGACAGAGTGATCACGTTCAGTCCCGATTATAAACAATGGTGAATTACAGACCCTTATGTCATTTGTAGTTTTTAGTCATCATTTAATTTCTAACTCCACAATAATACAAACCTTTGTTGTATCAGGCCTATATCTAAAAATAAGTGAAACAGAACTTCTGTCATTCCGATCTTAATGTCTGGAAATCGTTTGTTGTGTAGCGGTTTTCTTCATTGGCATTAACAGAATTTGAATCAGAATTAAAAACCAGTTAAATAAGATCAAATATCTAAGTCAACGGAGGCTAATTATTTTTTTTCATGTTACACTTGTAAAATCCCATAAATGATTGATACTTCGGACTTTCACGCGTTGTCGCATTAATACTAGATGTTAATATAATCTGCCATCAAATCTAATGTGAACGCTGAATCCATTGATCTGAACTTATTAATGGGCTTATGGTTAAATACATTTTCAATCCAGGCATAAAGATATCCAGAGATCTCAATACAATGAACACATGTAACTACAATTAATCTGAGCCTATTATGCATGGTTTTGTACAATATTCCCATATTTTCAATTGAATGTCTACGCCTAACTATAGTTTCTTAATAAAGTATCTTACTGAAGACTGTGAGATGATATATCACTGTCTTTGGAGAACAAGCCCGAAACTTCAAACTTTTAATTTGGTCTAATCGGTCAACTCTTGACGATTAAAGTTTTCTTACTCTTGTTTCAGAAAAATTAGCTGGCAGTTTGTATAACCAGGACTATGTGAACCGTGAGGAAGTTAGTATTTCTATGGAAATAAGCTACCTTTAGAAAAATGGTTAAAGCTGACATAAACAATGTAGAACATTAATGCTGTCATGTAAACTCTTAATTTGATACACTAAACAAATAACATATAGAGTAGAAATTTACTAGTAAGAAAAGACAGATAAATTGAAAGCGATGATATCATGAAGTTTGTAAAACCCGTAAAAGACCATAGATCTTGGAAGTTAGAAGGATGAATTATTCTTACTGGATATTTATAAACAACAGTATTACCGGTTTGTAAAATATTCGAGCGTACACTGCTCGAACTCCATCTGAAGCCTTATGAGGTCGCATTCACAACCCCGTGTACAAAGAGTCGATGTAGCATATACGTAGATCAGTAATTTCTATGTACATTATCGCACGCGTAATTCAGTTTAGAAAATCAATAAACTTCATAGTCTTTTCCCAACCTATCATTCGCAGATCCGCCTATTTACAGCCACTTGCTCACGTATGAACATATTTTCTCATTCTATGGTGTGATGGGGTCTAGTAAGTTTTGTAGGTTTGCACGCCGACAACACTCGCTTCGGAAGCTACATAAACGTTCGACCATCAGCGGCTGACAACACCTTGACGGGGATGAAACCCTCGATAGGATTTGTAAACTTCATCATACGTGGTGCGCATATGATTTCTGCATGCCTATAAGAGGGCAAGTTCACTGCAAGGCGCTTCATTCTGTATTAGGTTATGGCTGCCCAACACCTTTTGAAGGCGAGGGACGAACTTAGGTCGCTCAGTGTTATGGTGCCTGTATAGATCACAATGTAGTATCACTTATTCATTTGGAAATTAGTGTTCTTCCAATTTCTAGCCGAACTCAAAGGGTCACATAGTTCGTAAACTATCAACCTATCTATCACACAAAATTAATCGATACGTCTACTTTGACATCACACGTGTAACATGCAATACAGTTGAGAAATCGAAAAGTACATAAACATGCACAAACACTTTTTAGTAGTTTTGTGCCTTTATGAAAATAGTAAGCTTTACAGTTATCGTTATGGCTGATGCCAGTGATGTACTACAGATAGTGGAACTAGAAAATTACACAGTAGTGCATGCATAGTTAACTCTAACAAATGAATTACAAGATTCATTTGAAGATAATAGTCTAGTGTCTTAAAATAAGTAGAAATGAAAGATTTGCAATACAAAACATATCACTGACAGTTTAATATTAGTTTACGGACCAATCACACTGTAGAAAAAGACAATCGAAATGCAAGAGGAACGATAAAAGTATATTTATATACAAGAAGATAGAGTGGTTAGATTGACTTGAAGAATAAAATTTTGCGAAATGAAAAATATAGTGCTATAGCGATTCGGGTTAGAATCGGTTTGTAGCCTTCTCCCTCAATGTACGCTCTCGTAGGTTGACCAAAAGATCATGGATTTGAGCGCGCTTTTGACTAACAGTGGCTTCTGGGAACCAACCAGCCATTTCGTGTTGGAAGTAATCTTTCGTATAACTTTGAACAGGTTTCTAAAAATACATCAACCAATGGTAGAGAAGGTGAATGAATGATAGAGTTGAATTTCCGGTTAGTTATTCTTAACTTTAAAAAAACACCGTCTATGAAAGTAAACTGCGGGGTTGTGTACGAAGAAATTGCAAGTGTAACTTGAAGGATACATTGAGGGTTATAAGTCCCCACTTGCTAAGGCCGTACATGCAAAGAAATGAACAAACAACCAATAGCATGGATTGGATTTTCCGGTATTAGTTTGGAAATATATATTAGCGAATATTAGACGGAAGATTCGAGTTTACACGAAAAGTACGCAAAGAAAAGGTAGTTAGTAAACAGAGTGGTTCTTGATAGAATCGCACCAGAATGAGTATCCATTGTCTTTTACAGCCTGGATATTGCATTTGTGCTTCTTGGATATACATATATTTATGACGAAAACCTCATATAACAGTAAAAACCAATATGCCCGAAATTCAATTAAGTTTCTCTGTCTTAATTGGTATAGATCTTCAAGAGAATTTTGCTGCCCAATATCTAACAATGATGAAAGATGATTTCATAAAAAATGTAGATTCTGACCATAGATACGATTCGTTTATCAGACCGATTACGTGAAGAACCATATAATTCGAAATAACCACCGACACTTAACTAACTCTACAAGCTACGGGCTATGTACAAATCAAGTATACACTCATGAATATCTACGATGCATCCATACAAGCAAATTTACCTTGAAAAACATTTCCACATAATGAAGTAGGTAAATTCCACAATCCACCAGATTACTCTGAACAGGCACTCGAGGACTAAAACCTCGAATTGTATCCTTGTCGAAGCGAAGAACACCATCTTGAGCTGATCTTCGGGTATTCCATTCGGCTTGCAAATAACTGAAATGAACACGTATTTAGTAAATTCCAATTCATTTCATCTGATAAGCTCTTTTTATAAATCCAACTAATACACAGAATTTGTGGTAGTAGTTTCTATAAATGATCTCAATAAAGACCGATTAAACGTTGCATTGACCCTTTGAGTAATCTGGTGTAGCAGTAGGTTGAAAGAAAGCTAGGTTAGACCAAACCAAAACATGGCACAAATCCATGAAGTCACTGACAAGAGGATTGAGTCATGTTGGTAGGTGTCAACCACCTGACTGGGGCTCGCAAGATGATAGTAATCGATGGTTGGACACCTTGAGCGACATGGCTTAAAATCGTTTGCAATGGCGCAGATGCATCCACTCTTTGTATTCTCACAAATCCTAACCTTCTTAATTCCTAATCATCTCTACCCTTCTCTTTCTAAAGTTATCTCAATGAATTATACTTCTTGAATTACATCTCTGAACTCTAATATTCTCCATTACTGCTAATACTTCTACTGTCTCTACCACTATTGGATTTTAACTGACAGCTGCGTCTCTGTGTCACTCTTATCTGATGTACGTACGTACAAAGTTTACCAAAAACCTCAGCAACAATACAGATTTCTATTTGATAGGAAAGTGAAAACACAAGGAGAAAGATGATCGTAAAATGAAATTTGATAGTTTCATAAAGTAAACAATGCGGAAAAATAGCAGCAACTTACTTCCTAATGACATGCAAATTGCCAACTCGGCTTTGACAGGGAAGCGAATCGAATAGTAAAACACACGGCCTATTCAGGGTTTTATCAAAATAATAGCATTTGATAAGTTACAGAGAATAAGTGAAACGAATCAAAGAGCTTGTATACAAGTGACAGAGATTATAAAATGACTAAAATTTCTGGTTATTTACTTTTCATTTTGGTTTCGAAGCAGAAACATGCATTTGAACTACAAATTGCTATAAATACAAGTTAAACAGAAAAATTGGTTGCTTAATCTGCATACAACAGTTCGACCGGGAAGACTAAGTACCAATTCTAAACATATAAACCGAATTTGTGTTGTAGTAGGTAGGTGGTTAAACTTGAAATTACTGCTTCCTACAGAGTAACAAAACTAACTTACATTGCGTTAACACCACGTTGACGAAGCCAAGCTAAACGTCTTCGCCGCCATCGATCAAATGCTTCACCCTGCAACGGAAGAACAAATCCCATTTTGGCAATCAATAATCGAAACAATGATGAATCGCTTATGTAGTTAAAATTAAGCGTGCACAGACAATCGCAGAAAAAGGTGTGAAATCGTTAGATTTAAAAAGGTGTACATGTTACCGGGTGGACAAAAGTCTTGATTGAAGTTTGTGCGTTTTTGATATAACAAAATAATACAGATATTCTCTGTTTTTTGTTATATACTGCTACAATAATATAACTAGCAACTAAGATCATATTACCAATAGGTTGGATGCTCGATCGATACGCTATAAACAGACTGGGGTCATGTTATATCGAATACATGAATCACGGCTAAATATAAAAAACCACGTACAGACTGGAACATATTTTACCCAAAACAATTAAAACCAAACTATGCTCAGTGAGCTCAGAGTAGAAATCAATAACAAAGGAAACCACACATATAATAGTAAGCTGTGTCTGTCAGTTCACACTGAGTGGCCAGCCATATATTACACTAGGCATACGTCGACTTCCCAACACTCAGATCATCATACAGCGATCGCGTAAAGCAATAAGGTTAGTCATACATAATAAAACCAAAAATTAACTTATTCATTAAATATAGTTTACTAGGCAGAAGGCAAGCTTGTCCTCATAAAGACCATTTGTAGTTCGAAGTGCTAGATGACAAAATTTGAAGATTAGTGACTAGGCCTTCAAAGAGTAGAAAACACATGATAATTTCAGATAAAGTTACACCACAGTAAAGTTTGCGGTAATGAAAATACCAGAACCCAGAATGTGTCTAAAGTAAAATACATACACAAATGAACTTAAATAATTAATTGAATCAGTCTATAGCTAATTGACTAAATTCGATATAGAAACCCTAAAATACTAAATAAAGATAGACCAGTGCACAATTAATTATTCGAATAGCTAGAGGCCGTACACCACATTTTAGCGGTACCTTACCATTCATTGATTATTTGTTATATATACAATGAAATAGTTTGATGTCTCAATTTGCAATTTGGCACTTGTTTATTACTGCAGATATGCACAATTTTGTATTCTATACAAACTTCCCTTAATAGTTGCATTACGACAGGAAGTCTGTTCAGAAAAATAAGCAGACGGTATCATTCTATGGTGGCGATGATTATGATATGTAATCATACCGTTTGCTCTTGTTTATTTTTCTGCAGAGATAATCGGAATTAGACATATTTCAAAGTAACTCTTTTTAGTATGTGATTTAACCAAAAACTATGTGCAGAAATATCTGTTCAACTATCCTGTTTGTAATATGTAGTTCCATAACTAGATGTTACGTCAAAACACGACTGGATTATTTACTATGGGACTGTTAGTAATAGAGAATTATTATTATTATCATTATTGTTTCAAAGAGGATAGATATGCTTTTTTAAGTCTTTATTCACATGCTCAAATACAATAGTGAGTAGCGATGTTATCACTGCCTGGAAGACATTATAATTAAAGTACTTTTCTTTCAAGGGTGAACCACCAAGATATTTTCATCACATGATGTAAATGACCTCAATGTTATTAGGAGAGCAAACTAAATATCTAGAATATACACCGAACACTTCTCTGCTAAAATATGGCGAAAATTCTATTGCGTTATGCGGTTAACAAGCAAAATGTACTGCTAAAGTTTCATCAGAAAAGAATGATTGCTATCGACACGAATTAGTCAATATTAAGTGAAACTAGTGATAAGGAGATCAATACAACCAAAACCTGGCACGAATACACTTAAACAAAACAGATTTTAATTTGACGAGTTTAAAAATGAATTTAAAAAGTTTTAGGCAATTCCATAAATATGAAAATTTTTTAATTTGTTATTTACTGGAGTGTCGGTAGACGACCTTTGGATGACTTCTTCACCGATATCTAATGAATTTAAATCGTCTCCTGAAAAGTGTATGCGATCAACATCAGTAAACTTTTCCGTTAACTGGCAGAGATGATAAACTTCTTCACGATAAAGAGCCGTGTAGCTGACCATTCCCGCCATCCATGGATAGCAAACAAGACCAAGAAACCAATGTGCACTGAAAGAGTTTTAACAATGACGACCAGTCAATCTGAATATACAGAATGTTATACAGTTTATAAAAGGTAAACAATCAGAATCAGTGAAGATGGATTTTACTTTTAAATACTAAAGAACAATGAACAGCAGTGGTAGTGACTAAACGAATAAATATACCTTATTTACCAATCTAAGTCAATGTACTCAGTTTCAGTTAGTATTTCTAGTGTAAAGAGTTCGTGATACAACTCACCCGAATAAATCTAAGTAGATGGGTATTCAATTTTTTAAACCCGTAATTAATAGGTCATGTGTTTACTTTATCTCAAAAAAGGCTGACAGCAGTACATAGCAGTAAATGTGCGGATTACTAACAGAAGCTCAAAACATCAAAGATGGCGTCGAACTATTTTTAAGTTTAACTGTTAAGAAGAAACATTGTGTAGTCACGTTACTCAAGACTTCGTTAGACGACTTAAAATATAGTTTGGTGCAACAGCTCACTGGTTAACGCACACTTTTTAAACGTCAAGCTGTAGTTTTGTACTCGGTTTTATGGACTTCGTTCGCACAACTGGATAGTATTGTCAACTCTCTACAACTGTAGGCGTGTGTTTTATGTGTGGAAAGTGTTTAGTGGATGAATTTCCCATCGAAATTAACGGATCATATAGGACATCCAACCTTATGTAATAACTTTAACTGTCCCAAATACAATTTCGTTTGATTGTTAATGGGAGACTAAGTGAAGTATCAATAATACTTGTAAAATAGAGGTCCAGTAGGTCAACGGTACTATCAATACATTTGAAATTTGCACTGAGATAGAAGTTTCATGAGCGAAAGTTTACGAATGGTTGTACCAAAGTTTATCATGTAAGAGGTTCATTTTTTCCGCGATCAGTACCGCGAATTATAGTGCTCATTGCGAGTCCTAGATATACTAGAATGGATCCTGCATATGATTGTGAGCGTACAATACTGCGGGCTGTGAAACTAGAACAAAGCGTAGCTATTCAATTCAACCTAGTTTTTGAAAGGTTTTGTCTAGTTAATGCCCGTCCAGGAGGTGAGCGATTTTAAAAACAGAGAATTGGTATGTTTGCTGAATGAAACTCCGAAATAAATTGCTTTAAAAAATCTAAACAGATAAAAGTCAAGTTTGATAGCGTTATATTAACAAATTTGATTATTGTTTAATTTAACGTTAAACACAATAATCCAAAATGTTCAACTAGCTTAACATAATTACCCCTCCCCATGTTAAACGAAGTTAATTTTCCTGAGACCTACCATTCATTAATCGGAATGATAATATAATCTTTACTGAAAAGATCAACTCGGCGTGTCCATTTTGCAACATTGGCATGCTGAGCAAGAATTGTTCTATAAATACAAGAATTGGGAATACACTGATTGAATAAATACTTTTTGAAAGGGATGGTTGAATATTATGAATATTTTTGAATACATGTTGGCGTTTTCAAAGTTCGTTGAGAAGTTATCAACCACATAAAAATAGAGAAAAACTTCTCAACTAATGTTTATTTGTGCCATGTAGTCAGTATTTTAACGTAATGCCATTATGATTAAAATGATCCCAGAATTGTCGCTCAGAACTTTTGGTGTGAGTGGATCACTTACTGATTGAACCTGTACAGTGATATAGTCGAGATACTGCTTCAGAGTTTCTTTTTACCAGAACAAACATAACGTCACGATAATATTATCAGTGAAATCGAGAAAAGAGGCGAGCCAATTATTCTACCCAACTTTTTCGTAATTATCGACTGGCCTTTTAGTTTTTAACTGTTTGTATCTTGAAAAGTTTTAAAAAACTTAAACACTTCAATGTTAGATGAAAGATATCAATCTAGTTTGGTTAGATCTGTATTCTAATCACTTTCGTGAACCCATGAAGTCACTGACAGCTGGTTTAAACTAGATGGTAAAGGTAAGACTTATGACTGTTGTCAAACGCAGTAGTCGTATTCTGTGGTTAGGAGACACGGGCTAAAATCAATCACTGAAACAGTTAGATTCATTATTTGTATTAGTGTAAATATTGAGCTTATCGTAATATTTTACGGTCGATTCTTCGGTTGTATTTTTATTTTTTAATCATCACCTCCTGTTCACATTTCCAACAGTCTTTTACCTGCTTCGCATATTTCGACTTGCTCTCTTGCTATGATAATATAAGGCGTGACAACTCGAATTCGTACATATGTTATAGGTCTGGAAGTTGTCCATGATGGACTGACAGTAAAGTATGACGACTTCAATGAGAGGTTTAAACTTCGATGGAAAATAATTACGGTTTTCGTCAGAATACCAGGGGGGAGAAAATTTTATCTGAAAATGAATCCCACTTGTATAAAGATACGGTAAAATCTTGAGGCAGTAACAATTTACTATTGTTTTTACCGGGAGACTTTATAGGATGAACAGTTGTTTTTCTGTTGAAAGTTTGTCAAACTATCGGCTATAGTATTTCGATACATACAGTTCATTAGGCCCGAAAATTAATGTTCCGTCGATTAGTTTGAAGTGCTAATTTATACTCATTCTTGTTAGCACATGGTATTTTAAATGAGTATTTCATTTGCTAAAACTTTATACATGATCTTTAGTTATCTTCATCATTCCATACAAGATCGTTATTCTTTTGAAATCGTTATTGGCAATAAACGACTTTACTTTTATTATATATACAGTAACTTTCTATACTGATGTAAACAATAAACATGGAGCAACTGAATAAGTCGGATACAGAATTGCCACAGCCTGATGTATACATTTTTGAAATCAAAGCGGATTCATTTAATATAACAATGATTAGTCAAAACGTCTGGTATGGTACTGGATCTCAGTTCAAATTTATAGTTGCGCTAAAAAAATTACTAACAAACGTCGAAAATCAAGACCTGAATATTTTCAATTTGAAAAGATTGAAACTCTTGTATGCATTAACGACGTTTTACAGACAACATGAGCTTAGTTAATATGCCTGCTCCTTGACTAGTTACGTTTTCTATCAATGGTGTGTGGAAATGATGCAATATACACGACAGAGAAAGAATAAGTTACTGCACGATATTCGATATACTTTACAACGATAAACAGTGGAATAAATAACAGTAGGTTTGAATTGAGGATTCATTTGGCCGTAGACGTAAAACACGAACACATATAACACTAAAAAACTTGAACCGATACGTAGGATTTACGAGTAAATATACGTAAATATTTTTAAAAACATAACTCATGGGATTATCAGATTTCTCAAAATTTGTACATACTCATCTGTGGTTTCTGAACTTTTTGGCAAGCTAGTTGAAACTGTAGAACCCCGTACATCAGTCGATAAGTTACCACCACTTGCCAACCGACTGTAGAAAAATACATTGAACAAATAAGTAGCTTGTTTCTGGAAATTTGTAAGCTGTTCAAAATATAAATATTTGAGATAGAAGTTAATTATAGCATCATTTAAAAGAGCTCCAGGTGCAAGACACTCAATGTCGTTATTGGTTATTGTTATACTATCGGTAGACCCAGGAGGCTTGTAGTCAAACTTCCTATAATCAATAGAACAACATTAAAATAAACCTACTGTTAATTTGACATTAAGGCAAATGAAATGAAAAGTTTGAAATTAATATACAGTAGTGTGTTCTGATAGCACTTTTTAGCGGGTTAGTTTTCTACGGAATAGGGTCGCTGACCGTATACCCACCTCTACTCCTTTATCTGGTCGTAAGACCGGCAGTAATACTAGAAGGGTCGCAGAGAGGAAAGACATGGGAAAATAAATAGCGATTGAGTAGAACTGGAAAGAAAGGTCGAGGACAGAATTAGGTGGAAAAAGCTGGTAGGTAACTTATGTTCTAATACGGCAAACCAGAGTGTGTTCTGTTCAAACGTATAGGTGTGTGAGAGTTTGAAGTTGATTCAAATACCAATCATTCGACATCATTGAAGTTTGAACATTAATCATTCTGCGACGAAATCATTTATGAGGTAGTTATATTATACAAATTACCTTGTCTTGTCTGAACAGTTGTCTACTTTTACCTGTTATCACTGCCTTTTCCATCTCTCTAGCTTTCGCTACCCATCACTGTTCGCGATCATTGTGTAAGCTTCTTATCAACCTGTGCTTAAGCTGACAACGCTTCTCATTGTGTTCACAGTTGTTGTTTTCACAGCCTTTTGGATATTGTTCCAAGTTGCCTCGGTGTGGGTATTATTAATATGGCCGCCTAACTGTTTTTTCCGAAATATACTCTTAGCATTGCTATCATTAAGCAGAACCCTAAGGTGCTTCCCAGAAGTGTCTTTCCTACGTACAGTAAGCCGCAAACAAATACGCGTTCGCACCACTATCACCTCATCAAAGCGCTTAACGTTTTGGAGGTCCGGAAGCTGTCTGTAAAATTCATCTTTTACCTCGTCTGGTCTTCAGTCAGTGGGAGTGTAGGCAGATACAACGAAGTGACGACGGTGTGTGCCCATCTTTACGAGTCCTTACTGTCTCGTTTAGTCGGACAATACACAAGCGCCTGTCTACTGGGATACAGTCTAAGAGAGATAGTTCTGTCCTAGGACTCAATGCAGGGCTTCCCGTTACATCAAGTGTGAATTGAGATGGCTCTTTATTTGGACAAGTTGAACCTGTATACACGTTTCGGATACACAGCATACATCAATGGCGCGAGATTCCAAATTCCTAGCTAGGGAAGATTACTGCCCCATTTGACACAATGTCCAGACATTAAAAGTTCCCACATGTAGTTTAGAACGCGGTTTCAAGAGACCAGGAAGAATGTTTTGTGAACTCGAATCGTTTCCGAAGGAAATACCTTACTGCTGTCAGACCCCTCTGTAGTCAGCAATACGACTTCGTCCTCAGACTTTGAGTTGCAGCTTTTAATCATACCGTTCTCCAATCGACCTGGCTGGTATGGTAGAACCTACAGTAACATATGTTCCAATCAATATAGCTCGGTTGGGCTGTCTCGATAGTCAAGGTTGACAACCACCTCAAGGTAGCAGCTACGGTCAGGAGTAATATTCGGAGGGCTTACATCAAAATGCTGTTCAGGTCAAATGAAAATCGTGGGTAACCGAAGTGTGCCTGAAGGCCGGTTGAACCGCTTCCTGAAGTGTTCTGTCCATCGATCCAATCTCTTTGATTGAGAACTGGTAATAGTCTCATTCTTTTACGTGATAGTTTTGCTAAGTCGGCTTCCTAATACCGGTTTCCTTTGTGAGTGACAAGATCTGGCTGACAGAAATCTTTTACGTTCAGCTATAAAAACTTTTGTTACTATAGTCAGTGTTGATAAAACAGCCAATACAATTAAGAAAGTAAATGTTAGCGGGACAGAGATTGCATTAAAGCATGTTCCATACACAATTGCGTTGTTGCACACTGATTGGCTCTTTCGTATTCAATCAGTGCTAGTCAAGACTGGGGGAACGTTCTGGAATCTTCTCATGTAAAAACTATAAATACACTAACGTTTTTTCCTATTGGGCTTCTTACTTCCATCTAACCTTGTTATTGTAATATAATCTCTTTCCTGTTCAACCGTGTTCTGATTTGGGAGAACGTCTCGAATGAATTGGTGTCCGAGAATACTAAGCATTCGGAACAGCTGGGTTGTAATAAGAGAGAATTATAACAGTAAACTTCATTGAACCGGTTAGGTAACGAAAATTAACAAACAATCATAGAGTATTAGTAGTTGGTATTATTGATCAAGACAAATACACAAATCAAAGGAGGCATAAATGGTAAGAAGACAGTTAAATTCCAGAATTTTCAGAGCATTAAAATTCGGAGAGCAGAAAACACCTGAGTATACTAATGTTTGTATAATTATTAGTAAGTAGAGGCATATACGGATTCAAAGTGATGGTAACATCAGTATCTACGTTATCGAACTCGGTATTAGGAAAACCAAATATAATATACCCCGATGTGGATTTATAACGAGTTAAATTACTGACTATTCAGTCAGTTGACTTGGTTGGTTGGTTTCAAAGCATAATTGTTGGTACCGAGGGATAAAAAATATGTTTGCTTCATGCAGGTCGACAAATCTGTGTGGGTTGGAGTACTGCTCTTGTGACAAACCCAAAGCAGGTGGTGTTCTTAGGGGGCCACACTCCAAGTCTTTTACCCATAATTCCAACCCACAAGGCATTGAAGCAACGTTAGGAGCTGTAGTCCTACGGTCGCTAGTGACCAACAATAGGTTCATACACCATTCGTCCTCTTAGTATACTGCAGCCCATGTGCACTACTGACTTGAAGTCACGGACTTCCGATTCCCGCAAATAGATTTTCCGTATCCATCAATCCAGTTAATGCGCCGGACACTCGTTTTTCATCCTCTCAATTTCGTGAACAGTACACCTGCCACGTGAATGTAGTGAGTAGGACTTCCTTGTCAGCGGCTATTTACGCATGGGCATATGAGAGCATTTTGAGAGGGAGAGCAATATTTGTAGACTCTCAGACGTAACAAGACATTTGGGGTTTAAATTACTTGATGAAATCACTCGGCATTGAGTAACTTAGCAAACGACAAAAAACGTGAACGATCATAATAATTATATATCTTAAGGCTTACAAGGAGTCTTCATCAGGATTCGTGGATGATCCAGTTTGAGAATTACCACTGTTAGTCAGAGCAGATGACCTTGCATTTTGAATCCATTCTCCAGTATTTTCTTCAGAAAGAATGATCAAATCATCGCATTCTTTATTCCACTTAATAAAAAATTGATAGAAGTAGTATTGTTGAATCCTGGACAAATGAAGCATCAAATTTAAATGATACAAAATATAGCGGTGACTTGAGACACTCACTTAAACTTCTCCCTGCAGTCATCAGACAGTAGAATTATGACGTCTTGTGGTGAAAACCGAGTTTAAAGAAGCAATTACCCTGACGTTTTCTTTGAAAGACAGAGCAACAGCCAGAAATGGATTAAAGAAGCAGCAACTTTAACACGTTAGAGTGGTTCTCTATTTACACTCCACACAAAGTTCAAAAAAGGAAATAGGAGGAGAGCAGTCAACAATAGAAAAGAATTCAAGACGATGAGTAGTGACACTTGGTAACCACTTGAGCGAAGTTGGTTAGCGATCCTTGGTAGTTAGCCTATGCTTATAGAGGGATAGCAGGCTATATATATATATATATATATATATATATATATATATATATAACTTAAAGCTTTAATATTTGCATTGTCTTTGTTTTCTAAACTGACAAAGAAAAAAAACAGAATGTTAGTGTGAGATGTGACCTCCACACGCCTTTCTAAATCAGTAGTTACGTTTCTTTAGTTTAAATTTTCATCTGAAATCTATCGGTTACTTGGAATGCCAAAACATTTGTGTCTTTGCTATGTAATTAACAAACGGCTATTTTATCAAAACAGTTGGATTACAAGTACGATCTATTCTCATTAATAAGATTGCTTTTTGCGGCGATTAGTCATGTTCGTTTAGTGGTGAGAGATACCAGACTGACTATGATCACCACTAAATGTTCCATACGATCCCGCCAGTTAAATGAAAATTAATCCATGTTTCAGTATTTTATTGAAGGAGGAAATAGGCATAACATGGGAAGCAGCAAGTTAAGAAAAATGGTAGCAACGCGAAGAGAACTTTGCACGCAAAAAGTGGTTCGGTTAAACAAAACGGGAACAAAACTGTTTATTTCTCACAAATCGTTTTCTTTTCGTAAAAGCGTTCCACTACAACCCCATAAGGCTTCAGATGGAGTTCGAGCAGTGTACGCTCGAATATTTTACAAACCGGTAATACTGTTGTTTATAAATATCCAGTAAGAATAATTCATCCTTCTAACTTCCAAGATCTATGGTCTTTTACGGGTTTTACAAACTTCATGATATCATCGCTTTCAATTTATCTGTCTTTTCTTACTTGTAAATTTCTACTCTACACTGAGCGACCTAAGTTCGTCCCTCGCCTTCAAAAGGTGTTGGGCAGCCATAACCTAATACAGATTGAAGCGCCTTGCAGTGAACTTGCCCTCTTATAGGCATGCAGAAATCATATGCGCACCACGTATGATGAAGTTTACAAATCCTATCGAGGGTTTCATCCCCGTCAAGGTGTTGTCAGCCGCTGATAGTGTTGTTTATAAATATCCAGTAAGAATAATTCATCCCTCTAACTTCCAAGATCTATGGTCTTTTACGGGTTTTACAAACTTCATGATATCATCGCTTTCAATTTATTTGCCTTTTCTTACTAGTAAATTTCTACTCTATATGTTATTTGTTTAGTGTATCAAATTAAGAGTTTACATGACAGCATTAATGTTCTACATTGTTTATGTCAGCTTTAACCATTTTTCTAAAGGTAGCTTATTTCCATAGAAATACTAACTTCCTCACGGTTCACATAGTCCTGGTTATACAAACTGCCAGCTAATTTTTCTGAAACAAGAGTAAGAAAACTTTAATCGTCAAGAGTTGACCGATTAGACCAAATTAAAAGTTTGAAGTTTCGGGCTTGTTCTCCAAAGACAGTGATATATCATCTCACAGTCTTCAGTAAGATACTTTATTAAGAAACTATAGTTAGGCGTAGACATTCAATTGAAAATATGGGAATATTGTACAAAACCATGCATAATAGGCTCAGATTAATTGTAGTTACATGTGTTCATTGTATTGAGATCTCTGGATATCTTTATGCCTGGATTGAAAATGTATTTAACCATAAGCCCATTAATAAGTTCAGATCAATGGATTCAGCGTTCACATTAGATTTGATGGCAGATTATATTAACATCTAGTATTAATGCGACAACGCGTGAAAGTCCGAAGTATCAATCATTTATGGGATTTTACAAGTGTAACATGAAAAAAAATAATTAGCCTCCGTTGACTTAGATATTTGATCTTATTTAACTGGTTTTTAATTCTGATTCAAATTCTGTTAATGCCAATGAAGAAAACCGCTACACAACAAACGATTTCCAGACATTAAGATCGGAATGACAGAAGTTCTGTTTCACTTATTTTTAGATATAGGCCTGATACAACAAAGGTTTGTATTATTGTGGAGTTAGAAATTAAATGATGACTAAAAACTACAAATGACATAAGGGTCTGTAATTCACCATTGTTTATAATCGGGACTGAACGTGATCACTCTGTCGTCATGCATGTGCGTCTCAGTGTTGATGCACATAGTGACTTTTGCGTCAAACGCGCAACGTGTTATCTATTGAGTGTGGGTAGCAGACAACATTTCCTGGCACATTTAGTTGACAAGTTCAAAATAAGACAAAACCGGCTTCATATAGTCCACTGTTAGCCACATACCAAAAATGCTAAAAATTACACAGTAATTTGGTAAAGCGCACACCGAACATCTACCTTTGTCTACTACGTGTACCATACTTAATGGACTGACATTAAATCAAAGAATACATTATTTCTATGAGATAGAAGTAAAATAGGAACATTGATTGGATTCTTGTCATTGATAGAGATCAGGATTTTTTGAATTGATTAATAAACCTTTTTATTCTTCTCATACATAAAGGTATACTTCAGGTGATATATACGCATATGCACAATCAGAATTTGATATGCAGTATGATGATGTTAGTACACTGATTATACAGTAGACAAATTAAGAGTACAGAAGTTTAGTGCTGAAGAGACTTAGCAATGGTAAACAAGATCTGTGGATCGAAAATTGTAAGTTAGTGGTTGTAGGAATTTATCTAATGTGAAACTATTTTTAAATGTCAGCTGATATAATTAATGAGAAACAAAACAATGAGCATCTGTATCGCTCCAGTTTCCCATTCATTATATAGAGTGATCTCTGTGTTTTAGTTTAAATTTTAGAGTGATCCGCACGAAGTGAATGAATCACTAGGTTAATGTGGTATTCTCTTTTCTGATTAAATACTTAGTGTAGCACGACTACTCTTCTTCCTAACTGCTAATCATGTGTAGACTGTAGCTTGGACAGAGCTGAAGAGAATTCGGTTTCGAAAATAATCAATAGTACTGATTTATATGACTTCCTACAGTGATTCTTGAAACCACTTCGACTCTAGATAAAAACTATTTTATAGAACTGGTATTCACTATAATTTTACTTGTCCTGGTTACAAACGTAAAGTAGATGATTATGAGCAGTATTTCAACAAAAACGTAACTGTAAGTAGCTGAAGAGAAACCGTGAAATAAAGTAAAATCATACTATTCTGCCTCCATTGTTGTCCTGGTCCTATAAAGCGGGTCAATTGTATGAAGCCGTTGAAAATTCCCTTAATTTCCATCGACAAATCGAAATTCGATTATGCTTTTGGTGTTGAGTAATCTTAAAGTGAACATTGTAATATACTGTTAGTGAACAGGATACCCAAACAGAATTAGAAGTACAGGATGCATAAAACGATGATTTGTCCATATATTAACCTTAATTCGGGTGTTTGTTGCCTGGTTGAGGTTATGAATCAGTTTTGTCGATCGATACTATTTCGGTGCTGTCATGAGATAGATGTAAAAGTTCTACACAAGACATGTTGTGTCTGCTGTTTGATGGAAACTCAATGGTTTCAGGTTTTATCACGGAGATATTTTCCTTCAGGTTTGACTAACTAACTGATCTCCGGTCTGGTAATGTAACGGCTGCTAGTATCTGGAAACCCTACTGCCCTGAAACAAACGTTATCATTCAAATCCCGAGACATACAAACTGACAACCAACTGCCAACTGACTAGAATTAGACAGTCGAGTGGCTAGACCTCCATCCATTGGACATTACCGAACACTTGGAACCGTACCGAAAGAACAAGAATCGAGAGCGAAGAAATCAAATTGGTTTACACTAGCTAGTGAAAAAGATATTGGATATTGGACTGTTCTGTGGCTTTGTAGCTGCTGGTACAAGCAGTCTTCCGTTCACACATATAACGTATTCAGTATCCGCCAAGAAATATCGAGCTCAAGGTGACTGTCTTGATCATTAGGATAATTACAACTGAGTGAAAGGATTACTTTTATTGGACGTTACTGGAGACCTGAAGCCGCTAATTGACAATAAGTAACAACGGTGGATAAGCCAGATAATTCAGATTGGCTCGCCGAAAGTATGTGTTAAAAATGAATTCAGAGATCTGTACAGTTATAAGTAAGCTTTCTGAATCAAGTTATGACTCAGATATTTGTTTTAAATTTTCAAATTGCTGGGTCGAAGATGTTAATCTATAATTACATTGGATGTTCGCGTGTTTAAATGTTTCTGGCCCAAGACTTGTTGTGTTAGCTATACCCTACATTCATCATTGGTACATAGTTAGTTTTGGTTAGTGTCTTTCATTCGTAAATGTAAGTGGTTCCTAAGTCATCGGTTTAAGCATCCTCTTCGCTTGCTCAGACTCCTGTTAAAACATATTTTTGTTGATATTCCTCAATGCAACCAATCTCTAGTCTGTAGATAAAGCTATATACGACAAAAATTTTAAAGGCCTAGTGTTCTATTCAGGTTGTCACTTGGTGTCTTTTGAAGGAAAAGATCGGTAATGTTTCAGTCAATTATTTTCAATTGTTGTTAGGAGCTTTAATATAGATATCGACCTAGGTTCTTCTGATCCACAAAAGTAATTCTTCGCTATATTATATTTACGTGAAGCCAGGACTTAGAAATAAGACTGACAGACGATAATTACTTCTACTTCCTTTACTCCATTAAAATTACGGCAGATGAATTTGTCAAATATGTATTGTTCTGAAATCAAAGGTCACGTTTTCTGTATAGAATTAAGCAGCAACAAGGGTTGCTCATTAATTTTAATGAGTTTGAACAAAATGTAGCAGATTTAGTACGTATTTGCTTACAAGACGAGACTATTGAGATTCCTAAGTAGACTGCTTGTGCATGTTAATGTGCTTTAGATATGGACTTCGATTTTCCAGAAACACTGGTGGAAAAGATTGTGGTTTATTGCAGATAGTTGAGGCCACCAATTTCAAGTGTCTCGACTATTTTAGCCTCAATCCGTATGCAGCCGATGATGAAAAGCCCCAACTTTATTTAGCTAACCGTTTAAAGGAATATAAGGTACTTCTGCTGATTTCTTCCATTTTTGTAAGGCTGAGAGTGAAACCACCATTAAGCAGCTCAGCCGTTCTGTGTCGGAGCTCACGTTATCACTAAAATTTGCAGAGAAGGTGTCATTTCTTCTCTTTGACACCTTTAGGGTACGAGGTCTGTAATAAATGAGTTTGAAGCATTCAAAAAAGCATGCTCGGCTAAAGAAAATAATCTTCGGGCAGAGGATTAGTTTGCTGTTTTGGAGTTGCAATCAAGACATGATGAGGTTTGGCCTTTTTTTAATGATTATAAATTGTTAGGTAAGAATGAAGTTGGAGGAATCAGTCAGTCAGTCAGATGCAACGTAGAACTTGGTAGGTAAGTACATCAGTTCATGTTGCCATACCACATCAGCACAGAGATGTAATTGTCAATTCAAATCCAATAGCAGTAGAGGTAGTAAGGGAATTAGAAGTAATCGGAGAGGTTAGGATTAGAAGATATTATTCAAGAAGTATGATTCAGTGAGAAAAGTTTAGAAAGTCAAAACTAGAGGTGTTGAAGAATCCAGAAGATTAGAATTTGAGAGAACACAAAGACCCCAACCAGGTAGTCGACAACTACCGACATCGCTAAGTTCACTCGTCAATGACTTCATGGATTTCTGCCATGTTTTGGTTTTGCCCCCCCCCCTAACATTCTTCCAACCTACTCCTACACTACAAAACAAAGCTCGTCGAGGCAGTCGGTGGTTCGGCATACGCAATACATGTCCCAACCACCTCAACTGATGAAGTTTCACCACTTCATCGATTGATCTGCCATCCTTACCTAGTACTCGTTTCCTAACGACAGCATTGCTTACTCGGTTGTCCCACGGTATACGAGCAATGCTTCGAAGACACCTATGATCGAAAACCAGTAACCTACGAATATCTTCTACTCTCACTGGCCATGTTTCACAGCCATATAGGAGAA